TATATATATATATAAAAGTTGGAATACAGTTGATATACCGTTCTGTAAATTGGGGGAACTTAGGGGCTGCACATACGTCAAGAATGTCGGGCGACACTTAACGTCGCGACGACGCCAGCCTGACGCCAAAACAGCGACCCATTCGTTCTCATGTACATGGAGCCCGAAAATTATAAACTAAACTAATTTACTCTACAAACTACTATTACAGTTACGTGGGATCGTAAATGTGCCCCGGGTTATTCACGATCGATCTTCAGCACAAGAGCTAAGAAGAATGACTCAACGCAAAACAATTTCAATTATGTTTCTAAAGAGACATTATTCTCGTACTACGTAATATTCATTTTACGACTTTACGGCAGATATACGTCGCTATTTTTCAACGTAAGTTTAATTAATCATAAAGAAGCTAAATTGTAAACTTTAAGTAAATTTTATTAATAAACTGCGCGCAGAAAAGCCTGAATATAACGAAAAATCTATAAAGACGGACTTGATTGTAAGAGCGTAAAAAGCTTTCGTAGAGGTCGTATTCCAACATAAAAAAGCGTTTGCAGAAGACAAGAAGGTAAAACTCCGTCTGTAGGGCTGCCGTCGGGCAGCCAATGGCTGGCGGAAGGGTAAGATGCTTGTCTTCGAACCTAGGAAATTGATTACTCTTGGCTGCCTTTGAGTACTCTTTCTTCTTCGTTTCCTTCCACCTTTGCTTCATCGCCTCACTTTATGCTTATCTATCTTCTTTCTTTTTACCTGACTAGTGTCTCTTAGTTCTTACATCTTCAATTCAATTTCTCAATCATTTACGCATCGCATTTAAATCCCTCGACGATTAAGCCCACCGATGATTAATTCCAATTATACATTAGGCTTTTCATCAAGACTTTTGTCGTTCTCTTAAATCTTTGATCGCTTCTCTACAAAGTGGATGTATTCTTATTCGCACTTTGCCATTACATTTCGCAACGAGTTACTATTAATCTTACTTAGAAAGCTTGATGTAAATTGTAAGAAACACTTTCATTTTACCACGGCCATTTTATCTCGTTTTTATGAGCGAGGAAGGTCTTGTCTCGGCGGACAGGTCTTACATTGATCTCGTTGTTCCTAAAATTTCGAACGACATCTTGGAACGGATCTGTCATTCAACGTAGATTGATTTAGATGCCGGTCGACGTAAACGAATAAATCTTACATATCTTTGGATCAATGTTCTGGTGAGAATTGTTTCCCGATACCGACGTTTCTATTCGCGAGTTGAGAGGAGAAAAATATATTGGAAATATCATGAAATACATCTGTAAAAGCAAAAATATGGTTGTATTATTAAAGTATTATTTCTCTAATATGTTTTGGGATTATTCTATATTTGTAACAATTCTTTTATCTATTTTTAAAAAATAATATTTTATATAAAAAGATTTCAAATTTTAAATGTATTATTTCTTATAATATAAACTGTTTATATCTTTTAATAATTAATAAAAAAATTGCAAGACGTTATAGTCAAAATTACAAGACACCTGTATACTTAAATTACATTCATTTTTAGCTGCAATCGCCAATTCAAATTGTTCTCAAGTTTAAGTCAATTGTCACATAATGTACGAATGAAGATAGTAATACTGAAATCTGTGATATTTGAAGATTTAAATCGATTTATTGTCTTCTAAATATGTAAAAGACAAAATCCAATTTAAGATTGTATATTTTTTTATGTAATTTCCAAATATTTGTTTTTTTTACAGCCAGCAGACGGCTTATGTATGGTCCAGCGTTTGCTTGGGTGCCCTATCGATGTTGGCGAAGGAAACTGGCGTTACTGTTTTGGCACTAAACCTTCTTTACGATCTCTGTCGTTCCTGGCATTCAATCAAGAGGTAAGTGTTTAAGTGCTATTGGAGTGTGTGTGTGTGTGTGTGTGTGGTGTGTGTGTGTGTGCGTGTGCGTGTGTGTGTGTGTGCGTGCGTGTGTGTGTGCGCGCGCGTTCTGGCGAAATGTAAAGTTTAATGTCTTTGAGGTAAACTTTAAACTGATATAGTTATCTTGATTTTAATTATTTATAATTCCTCATAGTTAAAAGGATTGATAAGATACTTGTATCGCGTTTGAAAAATTAGATGTTAAACGAAAAAGACACGAAATTTATTCGTTCCCCGGCGGAAATCATGTACGTGCAACGACAATAAAATCAATCGCGAATTCTATGTCGCATGTCCCAAAGCGGTAAATGTGCTTCTCGTGAACGATAGAAAATGCGGCCAAAATATTTCGGCGCGTTAAGGTTTCGTGTTGGAATGCAAACTCTTTTCAAAAATTGACTAGGTGCACTATTAATCATAGTGATAGTGTACTGGCGCAGTGCTCGATACTATTTTTGTATTCACAACGGTGGACGTATAATATAATCTGCAATACGAAAAAAGCCATCACGTTATTCGGTATATGTATTTTACAGGTCTATTTTCGAAGCCAAGTGGAACGACGATTCTAGATATTTTTCCAAACGTGCTGCAGCGTTACTCGTTTCGGTAAGTTATGAGATAATTTTAATACAGTAACAAATAAAATCGCGTCTACATTTATATATTAGGTGTTGGAATTAATTCGTAGCGTTTTACAAGTGATGGGAAGTACTTTCATTAATGTATTTTTTAATGCTCATGTGAAATAAATAACATTCTTTCATTAAAAAACGCTACGAATTAATTCCAACACCTAATATAAATATACGATAATTAGTATACTATGATTATATCACTCTGATTTATGAAAGTGTGAATGTATCGTGACAAAATCTTATGTCTCAAAACGGGCGATGTATTCGATGCATCAATGTCATTCTAATATTGGTTATTAAAGGCAATCAATCATATTAAATCCTAAAAGATCGAGAAGAAAGAATGATTCTATAATGATATGTGAAATATAGATGAGTTAGTAATGGTCAAAGAGGATTGGAATCCCCTTAACGCACCATGCACATTCGGTCGTGCGTGGAAGTCCCACAGGATTTTCAGGCGAGTAGCAAGAGCCACTAGCTTTACTATTATTGTATTAACGACAATGTCTGCACTTCTGGTATCCGGGGAATTGCAGGGATGTCCATGACTATATTTATCCATTTAGGTCTGTACACTCTCAACTTATTGGATAACTGGATTAACAGAAAAATCAAGCAGCTTCACATTAAACCTTCACTGCAATTGGGAGAGAAGCATATTGTATTGTATAATAATTGTATAATTGATTTGTAACTTTGATTATTTTATTAAGAAAATTTATTAAAAATATCAAGAATAAGATAAAAATTTTGATGAAGTGATCACGAATCATTTGCAAATGAGTATTCACACACTGTTTTAATGTAGCTGTTAGTAATAATATAACTCGACATTATACCTAAAGGGGATTTTTCTACGTGTTAAGAAAACAGGATCGTCGCTCTTCTATAATCCACGGAATTAGCGTGGATCCTTTCTCTCTTTCGCTCTCTCTATTCCGTGCTGGCATTAATTCTTAACGACCGATATCTTTCGTTTTTATCGCCTGGCTATAGTCAGACACCGATGTTTACAGCAACTCGTGCTTTAAGCAAATTTAACGATCGTTACCATAGATACACTCGACGTAGAGAATTTCCCTTTACGGTCACCGAAAATAAATAACATTCCCCGAACTGCTATGCAACACAAGACAAACTGTGCGGCAAACGAAGCGAGGGATGAAATAGCGGCAGTTTCAAAAGATCAACAGAATGATGTACGATTCGCATAAATGGGTATTGTATAATGCTCAGCAATCGAAAATACGGCACGGCATTACCATCGGCATCCATGATAATAATCAGCTTTCTCGCAATTAATTTTATTAAGTGACGGCAATAATTAAATGATCAATTTATCTTCCTTTAGGATTCATTAAAGTTAAACATCACATTTTAACTTGAATACACTTCAAAGAAGCGGAAAACTTGCACAGTTTAATTTCGATCGAACGTTTTATGCGTTTAATTTGGAATCCTCTTTGAAACTTAATTTTCAAACAGGATTTAAAGTTTTTGCGAATAGTAAAGCTTTTAAGAAGGCTCTCTCTTTCTAGTAAAATCCACGCGGGCGTGAAGTACCTCGAATCTTCAAAGGAGTCTCAAGTGGTAAATTTCATCGATAAAGGATGTGAATTTCTCGTATTTTCGGTTCGAATCCATTGAGGTCATGTTGGTCGATCTCGACACCGTAAGGTGTAACCCCTAAACGGAGTTTATGAGATGCTATTAAATTCTCGGCGCTTTACTGTCGTTGATGTTCATACCCAAGAAACGCTGGCTCTTACGGCGCCGGCGCTCATCGTCTTTATTGTCGCGAATTAATTTAGACGGCGTCGTATTAAGCACCTTTACCAACACAAAGAACCGTTCGATAAAGATCCAAGGATAGCATATCTCTCATAATCAATAATAGTTGTACTTATTATCAAGCAAGCATTGTATATTAGATACTAAGTATTTAGCAATTATGAAATGATATACAGGATGATTTCCAAAACTGATAATGAATACCTTAAAGTCAGCTTTTTTTTTGTATAATATTTTAAGAAAAGTTTAATACAAAATTTAATTAAAAAATTTTAAATATCAAAATTAGATGCTATCTCGTATATAATAACAAAATTTAACGCCTTGACACTGATCATCCCTGAAGGCAAATCCCTGACATTTGTAATTTTTAAACTCTTTCTATTTAAAAGTATCATAATCTCGACATTTTCGTATTAGACTATTTTAAAATGTTACAAAGAATCTGTGAAAAAAATGTTTATCGTTAGTTTTGGGATATTCTGTATAAACGGACAATAATTCTACGATCGTAATTTTTTTATAGTGCATTAATCTTTCTGTAAGTTAAGTTTCTATAAAAAGATAATTTCTGAAGGAACAGAGTTTCAAGTTTCACATTAAAATTCTGTAGTGTATAATTAGACGGTAAACTCAATTGTATAATTTCCCTCAGTATCGGAATTGCTAAATAACGTATTTCACCCTTAAGATGTATTGTGGTAAGTCAAGGCGGGAACACGATCTATCACGTGGGCCAATACAGGAATAAAGGTTGCGCATGGAAAGTACTTTAACCGAACACGATTCTGAGTTATGCTAATTTATGCCGCCGAACGAGGGAGGCGTGCTTGCACACGATCTACCCTCACACAGTTATCTACATATCCCGGATCTCTTTGCACCCCTGTCGTTTCCGCCATCCCGTAGCACTTACACATTCTCAAGTACGTCATTCTCAATGATGCTTCTCAGTCTTCATTGCCAGGAAAGCTCGCTAATATTCTAGAATGCAATGCTATATTTTGGCTAACGTTGAACGTTTGTTAGATTTATAATTTCCTTTGTTTGAACAAACTGAGATAAAGACATTATATTTTATTTGTAAAATATTACTTTTCATTATTGATTATATGGAAAGAATGATTTTAATGAAATATTTAAAAATGTAACTATAGATACATATATATTTGGAAATAATTTTGTTTGACCAAAATACTTATTTAAAGCGCTCAAATTAATCGTTAGAATGTAAAAACTTTTTGCAGCATTATCATCAATGTTTTAGCGTTCTAGATATTTTAATGGTTCAATCAAATATTTTCAGATTTAAGTTAAATTTTTAGATATTTCAGCAAAACCATCTATCTTAAGTCTGCATAAGTGAGACAGAATTATATATTTTTTATATATTTGGGATAGTTATCTATTAATTAACAAATAATTTTCTGAAGGAATTAACGTCAAATGCTTTTAAATTATTAAATTATTATTTAATACAATTAAATCATACTAAAAAGTCATTGCTATTATATTGGAAGACACGAGCGCTAAAGACGTATTATACAACTAACATCTAATATGACAAATCTCATCAACAAGCCAATCCATTAGAGAAAGAGAGAGAGAGAGAGGGAGGGAGAGAGGGAGAGAGAGAGAGAGAGAGAGAGAGAGAGAGAGAGAGAGAGAGAAGTACATATACTATTTACCAATTGTACAATACATTGCTATGCTCACTGTTATCTGATTGGCTTAACGTTTAACTCTCGCTTATCTTAAACTCTTTCTCAAGATACTGCAATTAAAGAGAAATTACGATCGAAGCTACTATACCAGCAAAAAATGCATTATCGCGATTGCTTTCTGTAGCCACTTTATCATTATCTAATTATTAATCGATATCTAATCGAATATATTAAGTAAATGAATGCATTTTCGAGAAAAATCTTGAAAGAATAAGATATGTATTAGTCTGCAGAATATATTATAATCTTTAATTTATTAGCTTTCCGTTACTGTACCCAAGCATTACATTGTAAAGCATTACTTACAATTGTGTATTCATCCACGATTAAAAGTTTGCAATGTCGAAAAAAAGCTGCATCAATATGCGATATGACATTTCGTGTGGATCGGATATTTATCGGAATTGAATTTCCGTTCCGCTCGCCGTATTCCGCAGGTCAGCCGGGATCCTCGGTGGTGGCGTAATACAATATTCGAAGAGCTTCCCATCGAAGAACAAGGCCGGCATTGGTGTCGAACGTCTCTACAGGATGCGGCGTTTCGATGACAGCGTTACGTACATACGACGTGTTCGTGTGACTGCTTAGGATGGACGCTAACCCTTGTCTGTCGACTTCGATCCTAGAGGATATGAATACCTCGAATTGGCAGATATTGTCCGACTCTCCCACCCTTCCAGAACCACTCACCAACGTGTCTGTCCGTCGACAAGAATGCGAGCGAGAGCGACCCCGACGTAGGTACAAAGGCGGAGAGACAGTGAGAGGGCCAACAACGTCCCCGGATAACTCCGGAATAAGGGATAGAGAGCGGTCTATCGGAGGATGGTACGGACGTCTATTGGGTTAGCGAGCTCTGTGGAGGACGTGACAGAAATGTGACGACGGTTTCGTGTCATCCTTTGCGTGAACGTGACGACGTCTTGGCGCGCCCGCGCGCGCGAGAGAGAGAGAGAGAGAGAGAGAGAGAGAGACTGCAAAGCAACTACCTTTCGTTCTTTGCTATTCAGACACGCGAATCGTGTTACTTAATTAAACCATTTAGTAGAACGTGACTGGTGCGTTGCGTCGACTGGTAACATTATTGCGAGATGTATTACTAGCTTTCTCGCCACGTATCTTACAGATGATGAATAATTAACGTGAAGAGAAAATTGTATCACGTGGACGCGACATACGAATGCACAATTTTGCCTTTGCTTCACTTTTGGAACATTAACTCTACTTTGATTCACTTTACTGCATTGTAATAGTTTATATCTTTCTGTATTTACGGCTCTACCGTTGTGCAGTGAATCAATAAACTGAATAAATAATTTGAGAGACTGTTTGAAAATATAGTTCAATTACTTTGTTTTATTTCATTTTTTTGTTATATAAGCATAAATATAAAATAACAATTTATGATAAAATATAAATATATTCAATTATAATAAAATATAAATGTAAAGAATAAAAGTGTTGCGGGTTTTAATTTAATAAAAATTTGCAATACGAGCGTGTTTTCCTAAATATGAGACATTTGATTTAGTATTTATAGTCTTATATTTAAGACTATCATAAAATGTCACGAGTCAATCACAGTCGTATTATCTTTCTTAAAATAAAAACGGACTATGAATACCAGTCTTCCATGTCACATTTGATATTCATTCTATGAACTCACTGTTGAGGTTATATATACATGTAAGCCTTGCTATATTTAAGGTTTTAAATTCTTCCTAGTTATTAGTATTAAAAATATCAAGAAATCAAATTTGTTGAATTTAAATTTAAACATTAATTTGAATATTAATATGAGCATTAATTCGAACAATCAGCTTTTAAATCCACATTTGTTTTAATGTGTGTGGATGTTTTCATAAGTATCATATTTGAAAGAAAAATGCGTCTCTGGAACAATATGAAAATTTATCGACCATTTAATGTTTGCAGTTTAGCATACTTCTTGTGGTACGGCTCGCTCTACTTCATGGTACTTTGCCGAACTTCTCCGCGCAGGATAATCCAGCTGCTTTTCATCCCTGTTTCCATGTCAGGTGAGTATCTGTATAAATCCTTTATGTTACGCGAGTCGCGACGAGGAATCCTATTACAACGTTTCAAAACTCGCAGCGATTGAGAACGACTGGAAACTTTATACCATTGTCCCTCGTTGAGGAGTAACGTATCGCGTATACGTGAGATCAAAGTGTTGGATGACAATAGAAACAAGACGACTTTATCCTTTGATCTGATTCAGCCCGTATTCACCTCTCGCCCGGTGCTTTCAGCAGTTGGAAACATTTAAGCCATACCATTGTGATTGTTTGTTTTCGCACCTTTGTGAAAGAATGTTTTCTTACAGCCATCAATCAAGCATCCATTCTCAAGCATCCGATTATTTTCATGAAATTAACATAAAAATGAAAGATAATGGGTATTTAAGATATATGGATATTTCGAAAGATATCCCGAAATTCGAGAGTAATAAAATTGCAGTATGAAAATTCGTGAAAAATTGAATAATAAAAATGCATGCTATTTTTTTCATAAAATAGGTTTTTAATATAAAAATTCACGGTATGTGAACCAGTTCTAAATGTTGGTTAAAAATCGTTTATTTCACAATATTTTATTAAGGGGCCGATTTTTTCCCGTAATTCTTAAGTTATTACGCAGCTTTTTTATTCTACGTAACGACATCAATGATTATCATTACAGAAGATTATCGATCCCTTAGTGTCAATGATCTCGAAATGTTCAATATCTAATACCATTGCATTACATTCAGGTAGATGATTTTTTAACCAACGGATTTAGGATTAGTTATATCTTGAATCTTTAAACTAAAAATCACTTTATTTCAAAAAATAGCAAGCACTTTTATTATTTAATTTTTTTATGAACTTTTATGCTGTAATCTTATTACCCTCTATTTTCGGAGCACTCTGTATATAAATATTGTATATAAATTTAAAATGTTACTAATTTTATGATTGTGTTAGAGAGAAAAATAGAATATTTTTTAATATACTCTTGTAATATTTTCTACAATCATTTTCCAAGAAAGAGAGATTATTTTAAAGAATAAGCAATATTTGGACACGTATATACATATAAACTCTATCTTTTATTCATTTCAAATACGAATACGTAAGTTAAAATGTCTTTTAATGCTGCATCCCAAGGTTCAGAAACGTCAGTCGACTGTCAGCCGGAGAAAGATTCTCGATTCGTACTCAAGTTAAACCAAAAGTCTCGTCTGCCTAACTTTTCCATTCCAATTACTTGTTTGCAACAGATTCGTGACGCGTCCTGCTGCCCCGATTCGTTCGAGTCTCATCCTCAAAGAGTTTGAATGCGGTGTAACTTTTCGGTGCTGCTCGAAAAATCTCTCTGTTGATTTTCTCGAAGACTAGTGATACCATAATCCGTAGTTTTAATCCACTCGACAGTCTCGAGACATTCTATCGTTTTTAGAAATTTTTTTTGATGAGATAGATGTTCATAGATGTTCGGAGAGAGTCCAAAATCGCGATGTATATCCACGAAAAATTTTCTAATATACGATCCGATTTTACGGCTCGCTGAACATGTCCAGTAAATCCGATTCCGCTATATCCCGTAGTTCAACGATATCGCATGACCGCCGTATCTATTACGTCTCGCAAGGAATGGACGTGTCCTGACGTTTCACGTAGATGGAAAATGGAAATGGTCGCGCGATGTGATTCTCTCGACGCGACGCCGCAAAACTTCCGTTCATGACGAGACTACGAAATATATTCACCTCGTAGAGTTCTTTTATGGCAAGCGCCAAAGAACGGAGCAGTCCTTTTCACGCTCGTAAAAAATTATCTTAATTACAGAAGCGCATCGTTCGAAGCAGTGATAAACCTAATGCAATTTGTCTCCCTACTTTACAAAATTAATTAGTTATACCATTACATTTTCATGACAAAAGCCGCGTTTCTGTGCGTTTCTTTCATACGTGATTGTATAACTCGACGATAAGATTCCTCTTTCCAACACGATTGATGAAGGAACGCTAATTAAATATCCCATTCTGTAGATGCGCTTTCGTTTTTCACTGACTTTATAGAACTATAACCGTGAAAAACGGAAATTTTAGTTATTGTTTTAAAAGAGAGTGTTCGATCATTTTAGCATATTGAAAAATATTGTTTCGTTCCCATAGTCGTGCCCCTACCGTCTCTGTGACATATAGAAACGTCCTGGAGTAGTGTTTTGTCCTCCTGCAAACTACCGCCGTATTTATTCATTTTCCTTCCCCGGTACAATCCCAGCTTTTCCTCTTCGTCTTTTGGCCTTTTGAGTGAAAGGAAGAAACAGACCAGAGGGAGAAATGATATTAGGCGAAATACTTCCAAGCTGTCTTGCTAGAAACTGGGCAGGAATATTTTACGACATGTATAATTTGGCTGGATGTACCGTCGTTTCACGGAATTTACGATCGTGCAAGCCTACATCGGAGCGTTTCGGTACGGTGCTCCATATCATTCAGAATTCCATCCTCTCTCCGTTATCCCGGTTCCTTGTCCTCGAAATATCCTCCTCGTCGAGCGCGCACATGCGGCGGCACGTGTCCTTTGGTGACGCTGCAGCTTGAGGAGATTTGCCAGCAGGATGTCGTAGGTCGCGCGTATGAAGTTTCCACTCTAATGCAGTTATACGTTTACGAGGTTCCGGAAATACCGGACGACATATTTGCGATCGCGTGTACCGCTCGGCCGCTCAGGTGGTTACTCGGTTAGACCCTGCGGTGCTGCTGCGCGATTAATACGGTAATTTAAGTTTAAGCTTGTTAAGCGGACGACTAGCCCGCGTAACTCTACGCGAAGCGCTAATCGCCGCTAAATAGGCTACGATATAAATCATCCCGCGCTCGGCCCTCCCCCGTTATTAACAAGGGTTTCGCAACGTTTTCCTGACAACGCGCAATTACGACTTCGCTGCAACGCAGGATGCCCCCCTGCCGCTTCAATCTCGCTTCATGCAAGATTCGCGATTTTACATCGTCCTGTGACATTAACTCCGTTATCCAAACACGCTGTCTAATTTTACGATATCCAACATGTTACGTGCGCAAACGTATACGTTCAACGTGTGAATATACGTGGAAAGAATGGTTCTGCTAAAATATGTACCTAAAATGTAGTTAGATACACATCTGTAAATAATTTTGTTAGAATTTTGTTGGATCAAAATATGTAGGACGCTCAAACTAGAAGTCAAAAATTTTCACAACATTGTTCATTACACTTCAAATTTCTTACAGTAAAATCTCACTCCAAGAAAGTGAAAATATTTCACTTCTTGAAAAAAGAATGACAATTTTCACTTTTTAGAGTGAATTTTCATTTTAAAGTAGTGAAATCTCACTCTAAAAAAGTGAGATTTCACTTCCAAAAGAATGAAGATCGTCACTTTTTTTTTAAGAAATGAAAATATTTTCACTTTTTTCAAAGGTGGTTGCATTTTCACTCTCTTGAAGTAAGATTTCACTGCAAAAAATTTAGAGTGTATATTTGAGCGTCCTTTTGATATTCCAATAAAATGATTTTCTATATCCAAGGTTTTAGATACTTTAGCAAAATCGTTCCTTCCGTGTAATGCGCTGGATTGATTGAAATCAAATTTCGCGACCCGCTGTAGCCATTAAGATATATTTATGACATCGAGAAAATCTTGTTCCTCTCTATTTATACTTAGTCAAAGATTAAATGTAAATATGTTATGATGTGCGGCAACATCTTCAAACGAATCTTAGGTGATTGGAGGTTTTCATGTCAAGCTTGTTCAGCATAAACGGAATCGTTAAAGGATCTCTCCGGTTACGACAGACGTGTATATACCGCGTACGATCTTCGCAGTGATTAATTCCACGTCGGGTCCGCCCCATCGTGTCTCGGTCTATTGCTGTACCCATGTGCAATGATATTATGGGCGCCATACGCGTGTCATATCCATAACCTGCGCCGCCGGCTTTGTCGTAAAATATTAACAATGGTTAAATGGTGGTAAGCAGACTTCGTAAGATGGTGTGATATATTACGAATGTTACTACAATCAGGTCTTTGTCAATAAAGTCTTTATAAAACACTCGTTCCATATTAAATTATTTTTTCATATTAAATTAATTTCATTATTATGGAATATAACATAATTTGCAAGAAAATTAGATATAAATAATTGATGATAAACGTGTCAATAGCCAAATTTACCAATAGTCTCAATTGTAAATTTAATTACGTCTATAATAAAATTTATTGAGTTATAAACGTTATATTATAACATTGGGACATTATTATAAATATTAATCACATTATTAATCATGTCGTATATTAATTATCTTTGAACTAATAATTTTAAAATGCAGATATATGCACTCTGTTACATATTACGGATATTCTATCGTTTCAAATCGACATTGGCGAATAATTCTTAATCACTATTATGATAAAAATTGAATTGTGTATCAAATAAAGGTATGTATCCAACGTCGTTATGATAACGACGATGGAACTAGTTCACTGAGGTTATTGCAAGACCTCATTGTGTTCTTTAAATCGCCGCAAGAGTTCATTGGAATTTATGCAGCATGGTAACTTGAAACTTCTTCTTTACGTTTGTACGTTTCGAATACTCTCGAGAGATTTATAAGTTTATAAAACAGCTTACCTCTTAGAAACTGTGGAATATCCTGGAAAACAGAAGGAATACGCTATAAATGGTTAACGTAAGTTTCCTCGTAAAAAGATTGTTCTACTTTCCTCTCCGTTTGATTTCGATATCTCTTTTGTTCCTTATGATATCGTACCGCACGTGCATAAAAGATTTATGTGTAGAGTATTGTGTAACGTTTACGATAATACGCATATAAAACAAATTTATAGAAAATTCTACGCCCTGCGAATTTGAATCACAGGCCAGTCCTTGATACGTATATCAACGAGACGTTACTCACAATGTGACAGAGTGCACTTTGAATTTTTATCAATATCTGCAATAGAGAAGTGTTAGAATAATCATGCGC